TGACCGGTATCGGCACCCTGGGGATTTGGCAGTCCGCGTGTATGCACGCTCCGCAACCGTCTTCGATTCCATCCGTTAGCCACTCGTAGGGAGCTATTTGACTAAGCGCATTGTTTTAAGATTTAAAAAGTAAAGAATATTTTATATTTTTACGTATGTTTCTTCACAAAGCTATATTTAATTATAATTTTCTTTAAAAGTATATTCGTACAATTGAAGAATATTTTGTACCAGGTATGTACCGGTACATCCACCGCACATTTTATTTCACCGAGTAAGTTTTTATTATTTTATTTATAATTTTAGCCCTTATATCGTGGTTAGCGATTCGGAATGTAATTGCGATATTAAAAATGCATTTAGAGAAGTCTACGGTTTTTACTGGCTTATCGAATAAACGATACGAATGGACCCTAGACCAGGGGTGGCCAACAGTTTTTGCCCCCGGGCCGAATTGGAAAAAGAACTTTTTTCTCGGTCCGAACCAGTCTCTGCCTTAAGCAAGATTTTGAGGTGGTGCGAGATTTCATTGTGATGTCACCCTGAAGAAACCGAATTGTAGATAGAGATTACAGATACATTTTTCACATTATCATGATTTATCAACATTCTACGCTGTAGTTAAGAGATTTGTAATGGAGGGTTAACTCTAAACGCACAGTTTGAGTTGTTGATTTTTTTTAGGCGTCAGAATTTTTCAGCGAGCTATTCGGACTTCAGTACCTAATATTGAAAGATTGATCGCGGGCCACATAAATTCATTAGACGGGCCGTATGTTGGCCATGCCTGCCCTAGACCATCACTGACGGGCAATTGACTGATTGCCCCCTAGATGTCGGCTTCTTACAGAAACACAGCGTCCCTATCATCAAATGTCACGGCACGCCATTGTTAATTTGTTTATTTTTATTGTTCACAGTGACAAAATAAAACAATTCATGTATGAAAGAAATACTTTACAAAAATTTGCCTCAACAAATGAATAGACATATTTTTAAGCAAATGATCTGACCCTTTCTATCATTTATTTCCTCTGTCCGGATACTTTTGTCACAGGTGGATTTTGATATTCTCAAAGAAAATTTATAGACGTGTATTAGTTATTCGTATTTTATACAAGATTTTTTAAAGAAACTGTAAAATAAATTAATCGTATTCGTATACCATATATACTATATCTTTAATTTAATAATAAAAATAATAATTTTAGTATCATAAACGTGGTCTAGAACATTTAATACATTGATAAGTGAGTTCGAATTCTATCTGATTCCAAACACACTTTCCTACTTGTTGATGTCATTTCTTACTTGAAGTAAAGTTTTTATAAGAAATTGTATTTTATTATATAATTGCATTATATTAATCAATAAATTAACAATATTAATTACTTATTTTGCTGTATTCGGTATTGTGTACACCGTCCTCATATTAAAAACATACATCAATTATTCATTAAGTTGTCTGCTTATTAAGGATATAAAACGGACACAACTTGTCTATGACGGAGACATTTTAAGACGATAAATTTTGAGTCCGACCCGAATCCTCCATGGTAATAGGTTGACATCTTATCAGCAACATAAGTGCATTGCTATTGTTTTATATAAGAGCAATACTGTAATTATCATCAAACATGAAAATTCTGTTTTTATTTAAAGACCGCGTTAAATGAATTTTTTATTGTTAAAAAGTTTATTATAATATTTTGCTGAAAAGTCACTTTCAATGAAGACATAACCGATTTATAATAAATCTTTTATAGATTTTTGTAATTAATAATGGAAAATCGTAACAAATCTCTTAACGTTATTTATTATTATAAATGTTAATTATTATCTCAATAAAATATGAGATTAATTAATAATATTACCTGAAAATATTGCCGTACTTCTTCTTGAATTCATTGAGAGTCACGTACGCTTCTTTCTTAAGAAAAGGAAGATAGCCTAAAATAGGAAGGCCAATTGGTCCTGGGGGAAGTTTAGTTGAAGTTATGCAAAATACTTTGATTAAAATTGCAAAAAATATAGTGGAAACAACTAAAAAGTATATATCTGCAGACATTATCGTGTCAATCATTGACACTAAATTCATTTTTCTTTATAATTAAATTTTTGTATTTTTACTGTACGATTAATGTAATATTAGTTTATGCTGTTAACAGTTCTTGTTATATTGAGTAAGTTTAAAAGGTAATTTGATTTGTGATATTAAGATTACTTTTCATACTTCAGATATATTTAATCAACCCGATTGGTTTATTATTATCATTAAGATTATTGATATAAACATAATTTCGAATGACAAAAATAACAACAAAATAAAATTAAAGCCGGATAACCTTAATATTATTTTATCATTTTTAATCGAATTGCACTTAAAAAATAAATTGCTAGTCTATAAATTCGAATATCATTCGTATTGTTTTGGTTAAATGATAATTTTTAAATGTGTGTTTGCTTATTAATTATTGCAATTTTATCATTCGGCTTACATTATTAAAATATTTTATTGTAGATAACGTGCGCAATGCTGTATCAAAATTTCGTTCAAAACGGATCCAAAGAATTTTTAAATTGATGTCTCGATGTATTTCCGCATAATTCATCAATTATCTGTTTAAAAAAGATCGACTGAAATTGCCCAGCAATGGCCGAATGAATACAACTACTGAACAGTGATTAAGAACATAAAAATTTTATAAAAGCGCTTCAAACCATATTAGTAAGGAAAAATCACTCTAGGATTCGCGCCTGACCAACGAACTGTTCAAGTTGAATTTTCCGGGTTTTTTTCACGTGTTTAGTACTTAAATAGGTGTCAGTTTCCAGTAGAAAGTCCTCCTGGGAGACAGCCTTAAGATTCGTGGAATTCTATGAATCTTGGGGCGATTTTGCCTTATTCCAATCCAAATATATGGTTACGAAACAAAACTTAGCGATGTCTTCGATTTATTAGAAACATTTCTTACAAAATTAGTTTTAAATATTTTTAAAATCGAAAAAAATACTATGCCATAAAATTTCTTTTGGGGTGGCGTTATTCCTGCCGAAATAACCGAGTGGTTTCAAGATATTTNGTCGTCGTAATGCCGGGCTGCAATTTTTAATCATATTTAATTTAAAATATATTCTCTTCACCTCAAATTAGTAGTGACTTGCCCCTGTACGTCATGCTTTTCCCTTAACAATAGAGTCGTGCCGGTCATCTATTAACTGCTTTCAGGGGAAAAGATTTGAATTGAAGAAAACGTGTCCTCTGGTTTGTATCGGAAGTTCGTATATAGTTAATCGGGTCCTCGTGTTCCTAAGCTTTCCATATCTGGAAATCGTAGGGACTCTACTGTCATCTAACACTGTTCTCGAGATGAAGGAAGGACAGTCAGGCAGACATAGTGGGAATTTATAGGTGTATAATTTTTTTTCAAATCTCAGCTTAATCAGGAAAATTATGCAGCTCGTCGATGGATTTTTTACTATCCTTTTCGACTTGATGCCTGAAGCGATTGCCTCTGTCATCTATTGTAGGTCTAGTGTATTTATGGCAGATGGATTTGCCATGTTCAAATATCTACCATGGTAAAACCATGTGAAGGATAAGTTATATGTATAGGTATAAAACCGGAGTATCGCGATCATTCCGATATATCGATTACAACTCTAATTTTATGCTTAATGTTAGAGGTTATTTTAATCTCTTAAATATTATTTATGCGTTTTATTACCTTACAAATTAATTAATGTCCTCTGTGCTACAAATTTTCAAACCTCAAAAATTTTCAAAGTGAACATTTTAAAATGTATTAAATTTAATTTTTGGAATTTCCATTAGAAATAAAATACATAAAAAATTTAGGAAGACATTTAAAATAATTATTTAATATAAAAGCTCATTTCATCTCATTTCACGGAGTTAAAATTTTATATAATTTTTCACATATTTTTCGTTTGCCTTCTACAAAAGTCAAGAAACTTCTTCCATTTATTTCCATCTTTAATTTTAAAATTTCCTACATTCAAACATCTTTCTTGTGTTTTGTTAAATAAAAAAACTTAATCAAAAATCAAATAAAAATATTAAAATTTATTCAGAAAATTATCATACTTTACATAATAGACACAAAGAACAATTCGATTTTCTTCTCTCTCAAATATTTTTTTCCTCTTGATTACAAAGAGAAACAAACTAAAAATAAATTTCCAAATTAATACACTGCTAATTAATAACAAAATGAAATATAAATATTGCAAATTTAGTAAGTAAACCTCATTTTTATCTTTTACTTTATAACTAACTTTGAGAATAATAATTATAATTACATCAAGTTGCTTCTAATAATGTATATGTACTGTACTATACAATACATAGATGTATACGCGAGCACACAATCGTAGACTATTATATTAAATATAATTAGATTTTTAAAAGATTTATTTAATCTCCAAAATATAAAATTATTCGTTTATTTCCGAGGTACAAAAGTTAACTGATAAGGTTTAGGCATTAAAGCGATTCCTCCTCCCGTTACTCCTCCTAAATCCGGTGGTGTCGATTCTGGCCAAACAACTTCGAACTTCTGAAGGATCGAGGTCAAAAACAAGAAAATTTCCTTATAAGCGATTCCTTCCGCCGGACAAGAACGTTTACCTTCACAAAGCATCAATAACAACCCTTAATATATTTTATACTTTAATTCTGACAATAGTAAAATAAGTATTAAACCTACCGTAGGAAAATGGAGAGAAAGATTTCAATTTCTTGATGCTCGAACCGTCTTCTGTTAGAAATCTCTCCGGTACAAATTCTTCCGGATTATCCCAGTACGAGGGATCGTTGTGAATGCTCCAAATATTTAGGAGTACAGTTGTTCCTTTAGGTATTGTATATTCTCGAATTTTGCAATCTGACAATGCGCTTTAATAGAATTTTAAATTTGCATACATAATGGAATAGACATTTCAAGGGAAAAGTCTTGAATATATCGATACATACTATCTTAAGCCAGAAAGGGGTAGTATAGTCCTCCATCTTTGTATTTCCATGATAACTGCTTGAGTATAAGGTAAACGTATTCTATCCTCCCAAACTGGGTGTTCGGTACCGAAAATTGCATCTATTTCTTCTTGAACTTTTCTCTGAATTTTGGGATACGTTGCTAATGCTAATATGGTCCACGATAATGATGCAGCTGTAGTATCGAACCCAGCTGCTAATATTGTGACCATATTACCGACATAACCTAGAACTAAATTTATTCGACTTGTAATAGGCTGCCAACTGTGCCAACCGCCGCGCCTACCCGTTGTAATTTTGTTGAAACTTCACAATAATATAGCAAATGGTCTTGAACTAAGCTGAGAAAAATATTGAATCTGAATGTTTTGCTGTTTCCGATATAGACGCCTTGATTTCGAGATCACTCCACTTTTCTCCACGTCCATAACGCACAAATGATGTTTGTTTGTTTTGTTAAATTACGCAACAGAACACTTAGACGATTTGCCTAGAGGGATGCCTTCCGGGAGGTCTTTTTAAGAGTAACTGGCCCTTATTTAGGCGTTAAAGACGTGGAGAAAACCCGGAAAACTCCAAGTGGCCAGCCCGTCCTGGCCAGGCGCGAACCAACGACCGAACTCCAAGTGTTCAGGGAACGAATCCTCTTGGCGGCGCACAAATGATGAATTTTGTCCTTCTATTGCGCTCGTTTAAGTAAGCATACATTTTCAAATTTGATGATTTATGAAACTTTTTTGAGGATTTTGTCGTTCTTGATAATTTTGACTTGCAGAAAAATTGCAAACAACTGTTTTGTTTATGAATTTGTGGCTCCACAGCAAAGATGTACCAATTTTGAACGGCAAATATATCTATAAATAGGTTTTCTCGTTTTTTTGCTTTTCGGATCATTAGGAACAATATGTTACACATTATCAGAATTCTTGTTTCTAAACTCTGTCCTAGTTTGCTGGGACAGAGTTTAGAAACAAGGAAAAAAGGCTCGAAAATCTAACATCTAGTACAGTGAAGAATTGAATTTGACTGAAAGTTAGCAGCACGGTACGTGGTTTTTCATTATTCATTAAATTATTCATAGTATTGGTCACCTTGACGATCAGCTCCCTCTTTTAGGAAATAAGCAACCTAATCGCCAAGTAGCATAGTCTCCCATCAAATTGTTGATTCTTCTTTGAAAACTACTACTGAACGCTTACTTATTGTACGCTGTGCTTCGTTTGAATTGCCTTAGCAAACTTCAGTTTAATCTAAGTAATGTGATGGCACGTGACAGTCATTTTCTGACTTAATTTCCACCAAAATGTGCACAACTCTTCTCGCATTATTACTCATAACAAACAAAACATGCAATGTTCAGTATTAAAAGCGGTTGATTGTTGTAAAGCACAATTAGAAAACTTAGAAAAAAATTGAAGGACGGCAGTATGGAATGTCACTTTTTGAACTCTTTTTCTCCATTTGGAAGTTAGCACAAAGATTATGAAACGTGGATTCTTATGGGGGAAGATTCTCTTTCTAATGATTCCAAAAGAAAATTCGAGAAGTCCAATTTACAGATATTTGCCATTCAAAATTCGTTGAAATCACCTTGAAAAACATTTTTACTTAAATTAAGAAACCTTGATTTTTTCCAATATGTTTGTGTTATGGCACCCAAGATAATTAACTGGGAAACCGATATAGGGTGTACATATAAGAATATAGCAGTCTGAATTCGTTATAGTATCACTGACATTAGGTGTACAAAGTTTGTTATAGGTTAGAAGGAAAGAGTAAGGAAAACAGTTTCAGTTGTACGCATGATCGCAGATAGCTTTTCTTTGTTTCCGCTTGGCAGCGACGGTAACAAAGATGGGGATTTCTCAACGGAGGGCGTTTTGACAGAATTACAGTTTAAAGTGCGTTCCGTAGGGAATTTAATTGTGACCCTCTAATGCCAACAACGTTCGTCGACGGCATAATGGGGATTTTCAGATTTTGATATTGTGCGTGTTCACCTTACCAATAAGATGGAATGTGGATGCATCACTAAAAACTACATAATCAAGAAGGGCATCACTTTCCTGCTGCAGCATTTCAGTTGCGAAGTTTTTGCGCACAGCGTAGTCAGTAGGCTTCAAAGCCTGTAACAGTTGTAAGCGATAGGGACGCATATGTGAGCCCGAGGGTTTCGAGGGCGTAAATTTTTCAGTTTAAGGGGTTAATTCGTATAATGCGAACGAGACTCCCCAAAAATTAATGTCTTCTGTGATGTTTCACGGCAAGTTTATGAACCGTTCTTTTTTGCTGAAGCTACCTCAATAGGAGTGGCTTATTTGGATATGCTCTAAGAATGGCTATTCCCCCAACAAGATAAACCAAATAACTTCATTTGGCAACAAGATGGAGAACCTCCACATTGGCATCACTTTGTACGAGATTGGTTGAATGATGATATCACTGACCGCTGGATTGGTCGCCATAGACCCGATGACAGGACTTATCTTGTGTCGTCTCTAAGATCACCTGTTCTCACCCCTGCGATTTTTTTTCTTTTGGGTTTTGTAAAGGACCGCGTCTACGTGCCCCACTGCCTACTAACCTGCCCGAGATACAGGATTGAAGAAGCTGTTGCTACCATCACTCAAGAAATGCTGGTTAAGGTATAGGAGAAATTCGCCTACAGGTTGGATGTGTGTCGCGTGACAAACGGAGCTCACATTGAACACTTATAAGGTAAACTGGAGATGTTACTATTTTTTTCACATTTTGTTTATTCTTCGTTAACTTTAAAGTGCAATTAAATATCTTTAAAACTGCTATATTCTTTTATGTACACCCTGTATATATACTTTAGACAATATAGGTTGTTAAAATACAACTTCAAATGTATGCAACAGACTTTTTCTCCAGTTTTGGAGGAAATGTGATTTAATATAGTTGAATTCAGGACAAAAACTTTTCCTAGGTCACCAAATTTGTGAAAATGTATGCTTGCTTCAAAAGAAACAAAGTAACTTGAGCTCAAAATTCGTCATTTGTGTGCCATGGGCATGATAAAAAGCGATCTCTTAAATCAAGGCTTCTATTGGGAGTACAAAACATTTAAATCTATTATCTTAGAGCTATGGTCAAAACCATAAACTATCTTACTGTTAAGCTAAACATATACTGAAGTGGTGAGCAAAAAAATGAGAATAGAAAAGGAAAAATACGAATTTGATATTAACAGAAAATTTCTCCAAAAAAATTTGGAATTTGCAGTATTTAAAGTAACACTAGAAGCTGTAACGTTCACATAATAAATAAAAGTAGACATACACGAAGTATATGGTATACTTATTGGTGGATTTTATTTCAGTGTTTTTTGATCCCATACAGGAAATGAATTTTCATCTGTGTGAACGACGATAAAAGCGGAGATATGAAGCTGCTTTTAATACTTTGCTTTACTTTGACACCATTATTGCTTCAGTGCAGTATTCCACAGCAAGCGTGACCTCACAGGAATACATTTGTTTATTTTTGCTTTTCTCTGCTTTCACTATTGCTTTGCTCATCGCTTCAGTATGTGTTTAGACTTAAGTTTAAAAAGGGACTTTGAGCGTGTAAATTTACACTGTTAGCATGGAATTCCTCAATTGTTATGAAATAAAATTGAATCATCTAAACTTACCTGTATAAGGTGATTCGGGATTATTTTTACTTTTCTCTATTTCATAGATATAAGCTTCCGAAATATTCTTAATATTTTTATTATCGTATTCTGTAAAAACATTTTTAACTATTTCACTATAAAAAAGAAAATAAGTTTCATTAACCATTAATAAATATCATTAATCAGAAAACTGATCACACTGTATAATGCTTACACTAGTTTTTCAAAAGCAGCTGTCATTTTTTTTCTTAAAGGACCGTTCATTGCAAGAGAAACAAGATGCATAATTTTAATCCAAGGTATAAATAGACTATAAGAAATCATGCCCACATATTTCGAATTTATTTCACCAAACTCATTTATAATTTTCCTTGTAGGATGATGATAATCGAATCTTACACCCACCATAAAATTGAAGACAACATTGCTTGTGCTGGATAATATAAGTTGGTGGAAGTTGAATGGATAACCTTTACTCTGAGCCAATTCTCGTAACAGCAGCGGTATTTCTTCCTATACAAAAATATTGGTTATATGAAAAATATAAAATTAAATGAAAAAGGAAATTACCTCAATTGCAACGTCGTATCTTTCTTTGAATATTCTCAAGTTTTCGATGACAAATCGGCGATTTTCGACCCATTCTTCTCCGCTGGACATTCCTAGACCTGTAAACAATTTATAATTGTTTCAATTCTACAATCTTTAATGATATATATACTTTCATATATTCAGATATTAGGTATAGAGTTCTATATCGTTAAACGTATCTGCACCAAACTTGGCACATAAATATTCTTTGACATCGTAGATAAAATACTGCGAGGATTCCCCCAGTATTTAAATTACATTATCCCCACAGTATAAAGCCTATCCTCTAACTTAAGCCCATTCAAGTTTTTGTGTTTTGCAGTTTTCTTATTGTAAATACTCAGGTAGATAAATGTATGTTTTAGTTACTAATATCATTGTTTTTATCACCTTCTCCCAACTCCTCTAAAGACCGAGCAATACCTCTAAAATATAAATGACCATCTCACCTCTAAGTTTAAAAATGAAATCAAAAGAAGTGATTGGAGGACGACCAAGTAAGGCTGATTTACTGTACGCTTCTTTCATCACATCATAACTCGATAATACTACTATTCTCTCGCTTCCAAGAAGAACACTAAAAGTATTACACATCAAATTATATATATATATATATATATATCGAATTGTTGATCCTATCGAAAAATTAATTAGCCTAAAAACAAGTATTAAACCATACCTGAAAATCTGACCGTATTTGGAGCAAAGTTTATGAAGTTTTAAATGCGCTTCTTTACCAAGAAAAGGCAAATAGCCTAGAAAAGGCAGGCCCGCAGGACCCGGAGGAAAATTTTTTGGCCTGGAGAAATAATTTTTTAAAACATTAAGTATCGTTAATATAACAACAACCGAAAAAGAAACAAAACAATAATCCCAAAAGTTTTCCATCGTGATGATAAAACTTTAGACGTTATCGTCACAGCTTTGATTTTGTCGTGTAAATTAACTTCACTCGTTAATTTTGTATTTATAATCTGTAAACACTAATTAATCATAAAGAAAAAAGTTTTTCTGCGCTGCGAGGAGGTGAGTAGAAAATAAATGGTTTCTGCTTTATGTAATACGAAGTTTCCTTATAAATTTCGTCTTATATAAGACGAAATTTATTAGGAATATTTTAATTAATTAGACTGAGAGTAAAACTATAAAGGATGAGTTTTTTTCTTAAAGTTTAAAAACTAAAAAACAGTTTTTTTAAGTAGTCCATAAGAGAAGTGCCTAAAGGTGATACAAAAATTTTTGGCTGAACTTTTTGATTAAAAACAGATCCTGTAATAATATTTTTCTAATGAAATAGCGGATAGACGAGAGAAAGGCTATGAGGTTAGAAATGATTCATTTATTTCTAACTTCGTAACCTTGATTCATAATTTCAGTAAAGGATTTCTTTATGTCTCTGAAAGTTAATTGATATAGTAATAAATTCTCTAAAAATATAAAAGTTATTTAACGTTAATCTTTACGTACATTCAAATAATTCTTCTTCTTTAATGTACAGTACTGTTTTTAAATATGACATTTTATAACTTGAGAACAAATATTTCATTTAATATTAAAAATATAAAATTAAATATTTGTATTAAATATATAGGAAATANAAATTTTAAGAAAAAATGTTCCAACGCCCAATGAAATAAATCTGTCGCCCGAGATAAAGGTAAAAATATATACAGTACAGTATAAAAAATTCATTACATGCGTGAATTTATGTTGTATTATGTACTTAGCTATAAGTCCTTTCCCATAGTTTTCCTTTGGTAGGTAATAAAAGTGTGTAAACTATTCGGTTCACTGTTCTGCCAGACTGATTTCTTTTTCTTTTATAAATTTTGTGGCTAAACAACACAGTTCGTTATACTATTTCATTCCTTTATTTTCATTCCAGAATGTAAAAACTTTTCTTCTACATTTCGGACTATTAAGTGGTCTTTAACAATATATTTACTAAGTACAACGGCAAATAACTAATAGTGTATTAATAATACTCAAATTTTACAATATCTTCAATTAATACAAAATATTGTAAACGATACAAGAGCTGTTCGAATAGGCACGTATAATTGTATAAACTATGGGAAAGGACGTATAGCTAAGTACATAATACAACATAAATTCACGCATCTAATGAATTTTTTTATACTGTACTGTATATATTTTTACTTTTATCTCGGGCGACAGATTTATTGCATTGGGCGTGGAACATTTTTTCTCAAAATTCTTTTCTTAATTAATTAATTAAAATATTTCTTATATAAGACGAAATTTATAAGGAAATTTCGTATTACATAAAGCAGAAACCATTTATTTACTTTACTGGATTCTCTAAAGTTTATTGCGTTTCCTTCCTGGTTGGTCTTGTGTATTTGCCATGCTTCTGCGTGTTTAAGGTGTCTCTTGTTCTCAATCTTTTGTATTATTTTAGCTCTTTTCCAATCCACCATTACCTCTGTCGGGTCTGATATTACGTAGGTCGACTGGCTGCTCGTTCTGTACGTTCCTTTTATGTTCTTTTAACCTTTCTTTTAATGACCTCTCTGTGGCTCCGATGTAGTAAAGCTCTTTTTGTCGCCTTTCGTCTTGTACGGGTATTCTATAAATTCCTGCAATAAGACTCTGGTCTATGTCTTCCTTGACCGCACGTAGCATTTGGTATATTGTTGGATTCCTTTTAAAAATTATCTTTTTGTTTGTTGCAGCTCCTATTTTTTGACATTTTGTTTTCGAACAAATGAAATACTGTACGTAGAATGTTTCTTTATTCTTAGCGAATTTATTTTCTGTTAACAGCATTAGGGGCCCCATAATGGTCCTTGCCCTAATGCTGTTAACAGAAAATAAATTCGCTAAGACTGCTTTTTATTAATAATGAAACGTTCTACGTATTTCATGAATTCCCTCTCGACGATCCTGCTACCAATCATATAAACCTAATATCGCATTGAAGAAAACTAGAAGTGCCACCGTTATTTCTATCTCGCTTCCAAGTACTTACAGCACATTTTGAGTTAAAAGTTCGTCGTAATTTGCATATACTTTGATAATAGTTACATATTTATTAAATACTAGCAGACCCGGCCACGCGTTGCTGTGGCTCAAAATATATCTATTATAAATGTATAACACTTCCCCGCGGGGGGATATCGAAAAATCCCTTCTTAGTGTACATTCTCTTGACGTACCCTATTAAAACGCAATCAAAAACGCAAAAAAACCGCATCTAAAATAGTATAATAGAAGCCGAGTTCTTTACGGTAAGCTTTAATCCTGTCCCTCTTCCCCGCGGGGGAATTTCGACATCTAAATTATATAAAAACGCGCGAATTCGAATGCAACGTTGTGTCAAAATTTCAAAGCAATCGGTGAAGAACTTTCGGAGAGTTAAGATTTTGAACAAACGAACATTACATTTTTATTTATATAGATTAATTCCTCTTTAAACATCAAATTACCTTTAAAAATAATTCTAATATTTTTCTGATTAAAATGTATGCCGTAGTATCAGTGCTCTTACCACGTAGTTCGATCGTGAGAAAATGTCGTTAAGAGAGCGCATCACCTGTAAGTTTAATGTCTCAAATCGAAGTTTCGTTCTCAATGTCTCTTGAACTACAAAGGCTATTTTTTAAATAAGGTCCGTTTTTTAATAAGAAGAAAAATACTGTAAATATCATTAAAATATATTTTTTCCCATATTCTACATACTTTTATCTACTTTTCTACATAATTTCCATTTTTATTCAAACATTTGTCATACAGCTCGACAATTTTTTTAATTCCGACTTCAAAGAAATCTGCTGCCTGTGAAAAAGCCGAATCCATGACTGCAGTTTTCACTTCGTCGTTGAACCGTTGGCCACCAAAAAACTCCTTTTAAGTATCGAAACAAATGAAAATCACTGGGTGCATGGTCTGGACTGTAAGCTGGATCCAGTTGTTCCCATTCAAAAGAACTGATTAGACTTTGTGTTTGTGCAGAAACATGTGGCCTTGCATTGTCATGGAGCAACATCACACATGAAGACAGTAGACCACACCGCAATTTTCTCAAGGTCACACAATATGCATCAGAATTTATTGTTGTGCCTCTTGGCATAAAATCCACTAACAAAAATCTCTTTCCTGTCCTATAAGACAGTTGTCATAATTTTCCGTGCCGAAATGGACTGTTTGGCTTTCACTTTGATTGGCGAAGATGTGTCCCCCATTCCATTGACTGTTGCTTGGACTCAGGAGTCATGTGAGACACCCAAGTCTCATATACTGTAACGATGTGGTCCAACAATTCATCTCCTTCCAGATTGTATCGAGTCAAAAACAATAAAGCCACTGCCCAATCTTTTTGTCTTGTGATCATCAAAAAGCAGTCTTGGAACCCATTGAGAACACAATTTTCAATAATTCAGTTTCTCTGAAACAATAGAGAGGTTGAGGCAGACGTTTTAAACGTGTAAACGTGTAGGTCGGACGTTCGGCGCCGCTTTCCCGTCAGCCTAAAAGTTTGACAATAGTGTTTGGATAGTCGGTGGAATCACGCTCGACATTCCAAACACCATCGTCAAACTTCTAGGCTTACGGGAAAGCGGCACCGAACGTCCGTCCTACACGTTTAAAACGTTTGCCTCAACCTCTCTAATGGTATACAAAACTGACCTTGAAACCTGTAGAAATTCAATTGATAACATTGAAATCGTGAATCGTCGGTCCTCTCGAATTTTGTTATCCACATCACAAACCAAATCTTCAGAAATCAGAGAAGATCGGCCAGGACGTGGCTCATCATGCACGTTAACCGCTGGTCCTTGAACATTCTCATCTACTTTCGAACTTTACAGTACTGTCACTCATAGCATTATCACCGTAAACTTCACAAATCTGACGGTGAATTTCCGCTGTTGCCAAGTTTCTTGCATTCAAGAATCGAATAACAGATCATATCTCACAGTCGGCGGGCGACTCAATCTTCCTAAACATTATAAACTTTTACAGCTCAGCACACAGACAGGCGATACGGTTGCAAATTATGTCTAAACGCGCGCAAAGCAAGCTCGAAGCAGACGCACCTACGCACTGCCGCGATCACGCGCCATTCTCACTCTCATTCACAAATGAACCTTATTTAAAAAATAGCTCTCGTATATTGCAATAGTCAACAAAAAAAAAAAAACAAAAAATATGGAATTGTAAATACGAATTAATTAATTTTCAAACTTTTATAGCTAAATATTTCATAATTTTCCAGGCGAAAAATATTTAAGAAAAACTAAGACACACTATTACCAAGTTAAAATTATATGTGGCGCCATCTGTTATGAGATTTCATTAAAAAAATAACTGTTTTGTTATTAACTCGCGGGGGGAAGGAATTTCGAGATATATATAAGAACGTACCCGTATTCGAATGGAACGTTGTGTGAAAATTTCAAAGTAATCGGTGAAGAACTTTCGGAGATTAGCTATTAGGAACAAACGGACATTACATTTTTATTTATATAGATTTTCGTAATGATAGATTTCGTAACGATAATAGATTTCATATAGATTTTTATCAATGGTGTGCCGTCCTTGGAAGCGTTGGAAGCGCCGCTTCCACTGTATTTTCTAAAATATATACATATTGCGCGATTATTTTCATATTTTAATGTACTTTGAATTACTTAAAATCAATATTTTATTATTTGTCATTCAATCCTACTGATGTTTAGATCTAACATTAAGCAGGCAAACACGAACAGTAACAAAAAAGAACTTTATTAGAAAAGGTTAGAACTGTCACAGACATCCTCGGGCAACACCCGGACAAAATCCAACGAACTTTCGCGCCTTTTCTTTTTTGACGTTGCCAGCCACTCTTGTTGGCAAGTGTTGCCAGACAGAGTTCGTGATCTTGGCAAGTGTTGCCAGACAGAGTTCGTGATCTTGGCAAATGTTGCCAGACAGTGTTCAGGATCTCTGGTGCTGCCGGCCACAATTATAACCGCATTATGTATCTTATTACAAATTTCTATACTATATATGAAAAAACGATAAGATCGCTATTGTATATTCGAATATAAATTCGTATATAGATACAGTAGAACCTCGATTATCCGCCCTAATTGGGGACTGGGGTTGGTCGGATAATTGAAAAGTCGGATAACCGAAAAGTATGAAAAAATCCATTATTAGTGTAGTATATTATTATATCCCATGTAATTAGTATATCGCTATTAACCTATTTTGCGTTGAATTTTCATCAATGTTAAGCCTAACAAAAATTTTTTAAAATAATAATCGTCGCTATTGTAGCGCCACATCACTAGCGGACATTTGAAATTTGCTGACTAGGACGGTCGGTTAACCGAGGGGTCGGTTGATCGGGGGGCGGATAATTGAGGTTCTACTGTATTCCCAATGGAAGAGCCGCGGCGCTTCCATTGGGAATATCCAAATACGGCATAGCTGCGCGCCTTATTGTCGAATACGGGTAGCTTCCACGGCGAAAATATTTGAATGGCGTAAATCAGCCAGATGATACGCATTCGCACATGCGCTTTACAGAGCACCAATCACGCGGTTTAGCTGGTGGATGCTACACGCCAAAATACCGTATAACGCTTCATTGGAAGCATTATACGATATTTTGGCGTGTAGCATCCACTGATTCAATCCAGAACCGTTCTGGGCTGTTAACCGCTGGCCTGCTAGATATTTGGCCGCCCTCGCCCCATTATGTGAATCGCGAGTAGATTTATAACTTAACCCAACCGATAGGAGTTTACTAGTATGTTTTTATAATAATTTTGTATAGTTGACAGAAGTTTTAAATAAATTCATTAAGTAGTAGTTAAAATAATGAAGAGATTAGGGAATTAGGGACATAAATAAAACCCTGCCGAAAGAGCCGGAATATTACTTAAAAGCTTAACCAAATCCAATCTCTAAACGAGTATAGTGGGGACTGATTTCTTCGTAATATTAGATAATAAAGACAGAAGTTTTTCCAGTTCAATGAGAATGACCGAAAAGTTGTAAATTTTGGAAATTTCTGAGGACACTTGGTCTTAAAATGAATTAGTTAGAAAGCAAATGATTATTAAATTTAACATATTTAGATTTTTACAGCTATGGTGAGAAACGTTTAAAATGTACAACAACCGTGTCGCGTCCTTTTGAGATATACTAGTGATGCGACAAAAGAGGCATTTGACGTTAACGGTATCGGCACCCTCGGGATTTGGCAGGCATGCACGCACTGCACAGCTACCAAGACCGTCTCTGATTCCATCCATGAGCCACTGGTAGCGAGCCATTTTAACTAAGTGGATTGTTTTAAGATTTAAAAAGTAAAGAATACAGTGAAAACTGCTTAGGCGACCACCTGCATTCGACGGGCACCTGTCAAAACGGACAAAAATTTCTGACACGGAATAGTTTATCCATAGAGTCTTCGTATAAGTTACCTGTATTAAACGACCACCTGTGTAACGCGACCGCGGGCATCGATTTTTGGTCCGAAACAACATACAACACCTGTAATAAGCGACCACTTTCGCGAATGTATCTGGTCTAAACTATTGTAAGAACCCATCTCAACAACGTTTCCACCTCCTAATATAATGAATTAGTCTAAACTCTCGTTCGAACCCATCCCGGGCACTTCTCCCACCCTTGAAATTAGGTGCAGGTGTTAATAAATTAGTCTAGCAACAAAGGAAATTCATTTCAGTTTGTTGGAAAATGTCCGAAATGCAAAGTGCTGTCGTTAGAAGATCGTATTAAAGTTATCACAACAGCAATTAGCGGCGAAGTTTAACTGTGGGAAAACAAAATTTATTTTACCCTAGACCTACAGTATTTTCCTTGGGGGTGTAAAATATTGTACACGATACAATTAATCGGCTGATCTCATCGTTTGATAAAATCTATTTTTATTTATTTATTTTGAAGCTCATATACAGTACACGTGCGATAAATAGTTTCTGTATCAACCTACCTTATTTCCACGATATTTTTAGAAAAATAATATCCAAGTAATTTTCGCAGGCAAAATATTCAAAAAACAATAAACGCATTAATGCAAAAATCAGTTTTACTTCCTTTTTCGATTCCGCGATTGTAATGAAATCGTATAATGAGAAAAAATAATAAAATCGTTTTATTATTAATTAATAATTTTTCTTATTGTACTTAATTAATTAAGAAAATATTAAATATTAAAAAAATACAGTATTTTTAAAGTTAAAATATGATTAAACTAACGAAAACCAAAAGCAAAGTGATGGAGAGATACGACGCGCTTGTATATTGATGACTTAATACACGTAACTGAGGAGAGAACGAAAAGAACCGAGTCGAATTAATTAAGTGGGAAAAAAGAAAGTGTGTATTATAATCGAGAAAATACGAGTATTGTATTAATCTTTAAAATAAAATACAATACCAGTATAGCCCTATCGTTGAAAAAATTCGCTTATTTTTGCTCACCTCGAGATTTGCTTAGTAGAAATGGCTAAAAAATGCGCAAAATACGTACGTAAATACGTTATTACAGGACCACCTGTATTGGACGACCACCTGTCTAAAAGACCACTTTTTGAAGGAACCGTGGGTGGTCGTTATAGACAGGTTTACTGTATTTTATATTTTTATGTACGTTTCTTTACAAAGCTATATTTAATTATAATTTTCTTTAAAAGTATATTCGTACAATTGAAGAATATTTTGTACCAGGTATGTACCGATATATCCACCACACATTTTATTTCATCGAGTAAGTTTTTTTATTTTATTTTTAATTTTAGCCCTTATATTGTGGCTAGCGATTTAGAATGTAATTGCGATATTGAAAATTTATTTTAAAATAGTTTTGGCTCGAGACCATGATCGTAGGATAAAATCTTGCGTTGTAGGAGGCCCTACAGGCCCCTATAAAATGAAAGAGAAAACATTATTAAAAGAGAAAGACCAATGCCTAAATTAAATATAAATACTTCAATAAAAAAATTTGTTCGACATTTTCACGATAAAATTTACGAAGACGTAAAATGGCTTTGTGGATGCAACAATTGTTTCGTTGGTCTTACCTAATATTTTCAAATAAAATTAGTGTGGAATAAGAATAGCTTTGACGATTTAAATAATTTGAGTAAAGCTGGCAAAAGACACGAAAATCCTAAATCTCGCATCGATTCTTTCGTAAAATTGAAGCAATTTGGAAATCAAAGCAGAACAGAATTTAACATTAGTAAACAATATAAAATAAATATTGAAAATTATAACGAGACAGTTACGACTAATAGATATAACATCTATTAATTTAGATTTATTGTATGTTTTTTTTTATCAAAGCAAGAATTAGCATTTAGAGGGCATAGGGAATATATTGGATTTAATAACAGAGGTAATTACTGTATATTAAACTTGTTTATTTATTAAGTACGTCGTATAATCTATTAAAAATACATTTAGAGAAGTCTACAGTTTTTACTGGCTTATCGAATAAACGATACAAATTGACCCTAGACCATCACTGACGCGCAATTAACTGATTGCCCCTGGAAGTTGGCTATGTACAGAAACACAGTTTCTCTATCATCAAATGTGTTTATATAAAACGATATCCGGTTCCGTTGCAGTATGGCTCTATTTTGCACTTTAAAATTAATTTAAATTTCAAAATTAAAATTTTTACATTCCATAACTTTTACTTTCACGCTTGTTATAGAATACAACAAGTGGACTCTACCAATACGGACTATCTTAGTAGTGATATTTTGTCGCTAGTAGGGGGCCCTACAGGCCCCCTACTAGCGACAAAATATCTACTTCCTTTTGCCGCTCAGCTGTGTAAAACCACGCTGTGGTTCGTTATCTTCTGTATATATTTTGTCGCGCAATCTCTTGTACACTCCTTCACCAATTATGTGCTTTCCTATGCACGGGCCTCTTTATATCTATTGCCTTTACGCTCAGCAATTGACGCCCAGCAATGGCGCTCTTGTAATCTACATCCTTCCTCTTTCTCTTCCCCGTCGTCTCCCCCTTTCTTCAATTCCCCCTTACCTCCTTCCTTCCTCCCTTTCGCTGGCTATGCCTTTCGGTGCAGCCAGGATCTATCAACTATCTATAGAATACAACACAGGAATGTGTGGTAATCGGTCAAACTTCCTTTTGCATTTCTCAAGGTTTTGGCATTCTAGGAATACAAAAATGTAACACAAACTTTTACAATACTTTCTGTTCATTTTGCATTATATCTCAATCTGGACGAATCAAAAATTCTCAAAGTTGACAGGGTTATTTTTATATAGTGGGCATTGACGCTATTAAATTTTGGTAATTAAAGGTCAAAAACATGGGGAGACAGTGGGGCATTACGTGTCATATCTAAAGTGAGAGTCAGACTTAATGTGCAGTACCTATTTACAGTACGTATGGAAAAATGTATATGTACGTACACACACACACACACACACATTATATAAAATTAGATTTTTTAAAGATTTGTTTAATTATATCTACAAAATATAAAATTATTCGTCTATTTCCGAGGTACAAAAGTTAACTGATAAGGTTTAGGCATTAAAGCGATTCCTCCTCCCGTTACTCCTCCTAAATCCGGTGGTGTCGATTCTGGCCAAACAACTTCGAACTTCTGAAGGATCGAGGTCAAAAACAAGAAAATTTCCTTATAAGCGATTCCTTCCGCCGGACAAGAACGTTTACCTTCACAAAGCATCAATAACAACCCTTAATATATTTTATACTTTAATTCTGACAATAGTAAAATAAGTATTAAACCTACCGTAGGAAAATGGAGAGAAAGATTTCAATTTCTCGATGCTCGAACCGTCTTCTGTTAGAAATCTCTCCGGTACAAATTCTTCCGGATTATCCCAGTACGAGGGATCGTTGTGAATGCTCCAAATATTTAG